AATGAGTATCAACTCCAGCTCCTATAAAACTTACCAATGAGTATCAACTCCAGCTTGGTGACATGTTCTATTTTCAGGGATAGAGCGGAACAAACTAACACCTCTGTCTGGCTTTTGTTGACTTGCTTGGTAAACCTGAGAATTATGAAATAAATAAACAATGTTTATTCTGCCTGTTACAAACAATAACAGAGGGTATGTAGCCTGAAGAAGTCCTAAGACTTGTGTTTTTGGGAATTAAGGCCCATGGAGGCTGTTCAGACACTTCTGACACATGGTTCTACTCGTTTTCATGCTTTCTGCTATGTTTCGGTTGCTTTGATGCAACAGGCCTTTTCGCCGTGGTTGGGCACAGGTAAGCCCACACACACACAAAAATCACTGTAAAATTACAGAACACATCAAACTTTCTCGAAAGCCGCCATTAAACAGCCCACTTGTGCAAGAAATGCGAGAAGCAAACTGATTGGCTGGTGCTAAAACCTGCCAGCCAATCTGAAGGCTTTTATTACACGGAGCCGACATATCGGCCCAGTTGTCCTTTTGGCTACTTTGCGTTGGGCCGATATTTCAGCCGCATCGTCTTCAGATGGTTAATTCTAAAACCTGCAATAGTGGAAGGTGAAAAAACACTTTTAAAAATAATTTAAATTTATTAACTCTTTCAGGACCATATTTTTTTCTGGGGTTTGGACAGCATTATTTTTAGCATAATTTTTTTATTGCAACTTGAGAAAGCTAAAACCTTCCTGAAGAAAAAGTACTGACTGTATACGGACATATAACATATCAAAATAAAGAATGGAGGTGGAGGCGGTCACTGCAGCTTTCCGCTGGCTAGAGAACATGACACACACACACACACACATCGTGATTGTAACTGACTCAGAAAGCATGCTGAGGAAGATCAGAACAGGCATGCTTCGTGCAGAATGGCATGCTTCGCTGCGGAAGACACGGGTGAGGAGTATTGTCTTGATATTTTCACCGGGTTACACCGGTGTGTTGGGAAATGAACAGGCGGACAGACTGGCTGGCTCTGCACAACTTGGTGGAATACTGATACATGATATGACAGACGTGGTTAGGGCCTTGTGGGAGAGTGTGTACAATTCGGAGGAGCAGATGGATCACCAGTCTAGTGAGATTGATGCAGGGGGGAGTGACGAGAGATTCTGGCAGATGCTCGAGGCTCAGAGAAAAGGCAAGACAGACGTTTAATCAGAATGCTACTGGCACCATTAGTATCGGAACTCTTAGCTGGCTGCTGAAGATGGGGACGGAGGGCTTATGGGAATGCCCCGAGTACTGTGATGTCAGTTCTTGAATCAAATCAAATCAAACTGAAGAGAAATGAGAGCAGAATAAATCTAAACTATTTAAGTGTCAGCGTGACAACAAAATATTATTAAAATAACACAACATTCAAGGATATTAAACACATATGAAGGTTTTTACACACAAAATGTTGTGCTAACTTTACTTTTTACTTGTCAACAACACTGCTATCCAATTCTAAAAAGTCACTTGCCTTCTCTGTTCAATTGTATATCAGCTAGTCTTTATTTGATACAATTATTTTAAATACTTTGGATGTTATAATCATTTTAGTATACATTTGGATGACCCAAATGAAATATTTTGTTCAATCTGCATCCTAAACTAACATTTGTTTTGCTTATTCTAGTTTTTCAAAACATGTTCATACAAATTTGTTTTCCAAGCAAACAAAACAATGTTAGAGTGTCGCTATCAAACGCCACTTTAATGGTGATCAGTTCTAGCAGGATGGATTCAAACGCCACTGAAGTGGCAATTAGCCCACAAAAAAGTTTAAAAACAAATAATAATAATGAAGTTCGATACCTTAGGTAAATCCAATACATCTAGCAGAGTCTTATGGATGTCAAATGGAGTTGTCAATCCCTTGGCATTTCTTTTCAGATTTTCGTACAAAGCTCTGTGCTTTTTTCTGAAACTTTCAGGAAACACCATTGACATAAAGGGTAGCCTTTCTTCTATCTTTCCCTGAAGAGTTCTACGCAGTATCCCTTTCCGAGATCCATGGTCGCCGAACAGAATCAACAATGTATTGTTCAGATACCCTTCGGCTTTAAAATGCGTTAAAAATGTTAACAAATCTGGGTCAAGGTACTGAGACGGGTTGACTTCATCGTGGCTCAACTCCCCTGAAAATCCGACAGCGAAGTGGGGGATTCTGGGATACTTGTGGAAGAAATCGGTGATGTACTGAAGCAGGTAATGGTGGTTTGGCGTAGGGCCAGTGCAATACTTGGCACTGCAGTCACTTTTTAAGTGAGACTGTGCTTGCGACTGAAAACAAAAAGGTTAAAAGTTCATTAGTTATCTGACTTCTTCTGGTTGTTTGTCTACTTCTGGACTTGAGTCTTCTTTTTTCAAGAACCTGAGTGTTGCATGCACATCTGTTCTACAGATCTAGCTTATGTGTATGCAGACTGTTGGTTCCTTACCTTTTAGTCAGATGTGCTCCAGCATCAAAGGAGAACTTTAGATATCTTAATAATAGTGACAAGTGATTGATGAGAATCATCATAACAGCAATCTGGAAAGATCCATAGGTACTCCGATCTCCTCCTCAAAAGCTTCACAAGTGTAGAATGACTGATGATGCCTGTTCTGCATTGATTAATTAAACATCTCGTCCCCTTTACAAAATATTAACTTCTTGTAGCTCCAGGTTGCAGCTCCATGTTACAGCTCCAGGTTGCAGCTCCAGGTTGCAGCTCCATGTTACAGCTCCAGGTTGCAGCTCCATGTTACAGCTCCAGGTTGCAGCTCCAGGTTACAGCTCCAGGTTGCAGCTCATGTTACAGCTCCAGGTTGCAGCTCCAGGTTGCAGCTCCATGTTACAGCTCCAGGTTGCAGCTCCATGTTACAGCTCCAGGTTGCAGCTCCAGGTTACAGCTCCATGTCAATCAACCTAGACATTCATACAGGGTCAGGTACTTTACCGAAAACACCTTTGTGGTAAGTGTTGCTCATGGCATTGATAACATCCAGCACTGGAGCAGCTTTAGCAGCTGCAGTGTCTGCAAGCCAATCTCAATGTTCATTGTCTTGAACACCCGCATAAAGTAAATAAAAGTAAAGATCCCTTTTCACGCCTTAGGCACATTGGGTATATAGGAAGAGCGTCCCACATTTTTACAGACCAATCGGCACTGGATGGGTAATGTGGTCTGCATTACGCCGTTGCCGTTTTTACTCCCCAGGATAGCCATCCTGGTACCCATTTTAGGCTGGGTCGACATGCGACGCCCCATTTCATGATACAAATCCACGCAGCCAGGACACCCGCATACCCTGGCATAAAGATAAAGGTTAGGCAAGCCATTCCCAAACTGCTTAATGTTGCAATCAATTCTTGCTTGATGAACCGAGCCTGGAATTTGTTAAGCATATTCATTGCAGAGGGTATATAACTACACTTGCCATTCCTAAATCCTGTTTTTATTTTCTGATCTATTTTGTTTCCATAATGAGCAGGAAGATAAGACTGGCTCGTTCTGCACCACTTGGTGGTGAACTGATGTATGCTAAACTAGAAGTTGTGATGGCCCTTTGGGAGCGAGTGAACAGTGTGGAGGCAAAAACAGATAATTACAGTCTGAGGAGACTGGCGATGCAGGATCTGGCCGAAGGTCAACACTGAAGGGAAAGGCGATAAGGATGTCCAATTAGAAAGTTACTGATACCATTGAAATTGGAACTCTTTGTTTGCTGCTGAAGATGGGGGACTCAGTACTTATGACAGTGTCCTGAGTGCCATAATGTCGATTCTTAATTCAGCATTCAACATCTCCCATTTCAATTACCTGCCAAACACATGTGGGTTCTGCGGTCCTGTTTAGGGGGACAAAAGAACAGACCCATAAGTCCTCAACATGTGAGTAAATATTTGACATAACAGCACTCAGGACACGCCCTATTAGTTTCATCTCCCCTCTTAGCAGTCAGCATAGAGTCTTCATTCTTATGGTTTCTGTTGTCATATGGTTAACTACTCATCTTGCCTTTCACCCAGAGTCTCGGCTGCAGCCCAGAGCTCAAGTCAGTTCTCCCTGCATCATTCTCTCCAGGCCCCCGTGTGGGTTCCGGGGCCCCATTGTAGGGGAAAACAAGAATAGACCCACTGCCTACCCAAAAGCATGTCGTAAGAGTCGACTAATTGGGGAGCTTCCTTTGAAGTTGGAGTGCATCTGCCGGAGAGGCAAGGAACCAACAGTCTGTATTCAAGAGAATGAGATCTGTAAAACTGATGCACACGCAACACTCAGGTTCTGGAGCAGGACTTCAGTTCAGTAGTGGACGAACAACCAGAACTTTCCGCCAGAGTGTACAGCTGGTGAACGTGAAGAAAAAAAGAAGAAGATTCTCTCCAGGTACTGGTTTTCATTCATTACTTCCTTACTTACTTCCTTAATTAGTCCCTCCTCTTCAACCTTGGAGTGTAGAGTTTTGCCAGAGAGATCGCCAGACGTCTCTATCAGCAGTTTTCTTTCTGGCTTTGTTCCATATCAGTCCTCTGTCAGTTAGGGACTGTCGGATGTCTTCTCAGCAGACCCTGGGTCGCCCTGGAGGTCTGGTTCCCTGGTTCTTAGCCTCCCATGCCTGCCACGGTGGTCGATTTTGTCCCATTTTGCATACATGTCCAAACCATCATCGGCATTAGGAAGGTTGAGAATCATTGCCATAGATCATAAACCACTTCCACTTTATCATAAAGCACCTCACCACCCAGAAGAGCTGCAGCAGCTAATCTATCAGCCTCCTCATTATCTTGCACACCTGAATATCCTGGACAGAAAATCCAGAATACAGTCAAAATAGCAAAAAAAGAATTACCTGCCAAAAATAGCGCATGTAGTGGTCAGTGGGCAGCTCTTCGAATCCCTGGAGTCGCAGGTTAAACACACCAAGATGAGGTTCATCCTCAGCGAATAAGGTCACGTAGCCGCGCTCTCGGTAACGCTTCCAAACAAAATCTAAACCGTCGAGGTGCCGCTCGAGAATGTCCGGAATTTCATGTTGTAATTGACCTGGAAGGAAACAAACATGATAAATATAAAGATTTTCTTCTTCTTCTTGAGTTACCTTTAGAACGGCAGAAGACACACTTTACTGTGGTTTACAGCTAGGCTGCGATCAGTGTACCTTTCGGCCCAATACATCTAAATTCATCATCATCATCATGTGCCATGCCAGCTGGCGTACACGCGTCCATGCGTCGCCACAGATCACGATCCCTGGTTGCCTGGAACAGCTCTCTTGATGATATCCCTCCATGCTATCGTTTTAGCCCATCCAGCATCATCTCTCTTGGTCTGCCTCTACCCCTTTTTTCACTGATCTTTCCAGTTGTTACCATCTTCTCCAATGTCTCTCTTCTCATTATGTGGCCAAAGAACAGTGTTTGTCTCTCTTATATTGTTGTATATAGAGATCTACTTTCATTAGCTTCTTTCAAACAATCGTTGTTAGTTACTCTGGCTTCCAAGGTATTCGTAACATTCGCCTCCGAAACCACATCTGAATTCAGCAATCAGTAACCTTTTACGACAAGCTTGTTAAAAGGGTCATGGGTCTATTTGCTCCTCCCTTCCCCCCAATCGGGGCACTGGAGACATCACAAGGAATATATAAAGATTGTATTAGCACACTGCGACGGTGGCACAGAGGGATATCATATGTGGAACTGGCCCAGAGGATAAGGGACTGAGACGCAGGAACGCCTACGCCAGTCAGCATGGCATATGATGATGATGATGATGACACAACAGTAGACAGAAACAAGAATTCAACCAGCCAGCATTCTCATGGATCAACTGACCTCTCCCCGTGTGGGTTCTGGGGCTCCGTTGTAGGGAAAACAGGAAGAGATACACAGCCTCCACAACAAGTATGTCGTAGGAGTCGACTTATTTGGAAGCTTCCCTCGAAGTCAGAGTGCTTCTGCACAAGTGACAAGATACAATCTATCTACCCGAGTGACAAGGAACAATCTATCTGCCCGAGTGACAAGGAAATAATCTATCTGCCCGAGTGATGAGGTACAATCTATCTGCCCGAGTGACAAGGTAAAATCTATCTGCCCAAGTGAGAAGGTATAATCTAACAGCCCGAGTGACAATGAACAATCTATCTGCCCGAGTGACAAGATAAAATCTATCTGCCCAAGTGACAAGGTACAATCAATCTGCCCGAGTGACAAGGTACAATCTATCTGCCCGAGTGACGAGGTACAATCTATCTGCCCGAGTGATAAGGAACAATCTATCTGCCCAAGTGACAAGGTACAATCTATCTGCTCGAGTGACAAGGAAAAATCTATCTGCCCGAGTGACAAGGTTCAATCTATGTACCCGACTGACAATGTACAATCTATGTGCCCGACTGACAAAGTACAATCTACTGCACACAAAAAAGCCAGGAGATCGGATGTTTATGCAAACTCCAGGCCTTGACACAAAGCCAAAGTCTAAATGGATGAACAACCAGGACTTTCCACTGGAGCTTTCAATAAAGAAGAAGAAGAAGAAGAAGAGGAAGAACTGATCCCAATTTTGAAACACCTGGCTATCCCAAAAAAGGCATATAGACAAATTAACAAGCTATAAATGCAATCTTCAAACCAACCTTGAACACTGACAAAAGAACATGAAAGAAAGCAAACTAACCACCTTCAAAATAAGAATTGGGAGAAAGGCCATGCAAAAAAACTATAAGAGCTCACGTGAGAAACAAAGAAATTACAAGAACTATTAGAACAATACCTATAATTAAAGTCACTGAAAAAACAATCACTGAAATGGTTTGGCCATTTAAAATGACTTGAACAGTTTGGCCATTACTGGGATGAGAATTCAACTGGAGCCAATCCCAGAACCCTGCTAAACCTCATAAAAACAGTTATACTGGGGCAACACTAGGGTTACAATAAACTGATGTCAAATGCAGGTAGGGTTAGGGTATTTAAAAGCAGTAAGTGTTTCAGGAGCAACCAAGAAGTTTTGAAAGAGGCTGGAGCCCGAAGACAACTTTTCACAGACATCAGAAGGAGACAGTCATCATTTTTCGGCCATGTTATGAGAAGAGGAAAAATAGAACATGTTGTGACCACTGGAAAGATCTGTGGAAGGAGGGATAGAGGAAGACAAGGAGAAAAGATGCTTGACAGTCTTGTTGCATGGCATGGAGGTGTGTCGGCACACGAACTGATACATGCTGCAGGAGATCGCAGATTATGGAGAGGCATGATCGCAAACACGCCAGTCGGCAAGGCAACTGATGATGATGATGAAGTGTTTCAGTCATACGAAATAAAGTTGACACAGAACCAATTCTGAATTACATACAAAGACAGCAAATCAAATGGTTTGCCCACTTGGAGAGAATGCCTTCTGACGCAATACCATACAAGGCATATACCAAAAGAGAAGCGGGACGCAGAGCAAGAGGCAGCCAAGAACAAGAAGGAAAGATAGCACCAGAGAAACTCTACAGCACCACGAAGTGTTTATGGTCGAAGCAGCTAGAATAGCAAGAAGCAGGATCTTATACCTTCCTCGACACCTGAAGTAGCAAAAAGAGGATGTAAAGAAGAAGAAGTGTTTCAGTTTGTCGTCAGTCGAGGTTTTTCCATCCCTGCAGACGTGTCGCCCCCATAGCTGCTCTTTTTCTGTTCCAATGGCAATCACACAAGAAGTCCTCCACTGTCCCATCTGAGACAATTGTCAGTACTGAAGCAAAAGCAGCTGTCAGATGTGCCAAAAACTAACTGTCCCACACCAGAATTACAGCTCACTGTTGTACGATCAATTTTGAAAGCCAGCATTGCACCCACAAAAGTACTAATTATTCTGAATGTAATTGGCCACCCACTATTTTAATGCAATCAATGACTGGCACCTTTCCGTCTTTCCAGACAATAGTGCAGTAGTGCAGTCAACAATTAAAAAAAAAAAAAAATTCTACATCAAATCCACACCTCACAGTGTTGCACCAAGCACTTGACTCAAAAACTCTGTGATAGAACCTTTGGACTCCCAGTTCAGAAGACAGCAAAAACATTATATTATCTTTAGAATGAACAAGGACCATTTGCAAGTTGTTCAGGACTGACAGAGTGAAGACAGTTACTACCCTACTGTGTGCATGCAACTGGCCATCTTGAACAGCGTCTGCTACAACTCCAATGCAGTAGCGGTACTCCCTGCCACTTAATGCACATAGAAGCATTGATACTCTATTATCCTGAGGTTGGTTTTCTCTCAGACTGCTTGCTGAGTTTGGCCTCTTGATAACTGCGACAGTCCGTCTTTCACCATCTGCCTCCAAAGGAGTTGGTCTGCAGCTGATCTCTTCAAAGTGTCTGTGTCAATTTTGATATCTTTCAGGTCACGGTTGCAGATGTCCTTATAGCATAGCCTTGGCCTTCTGCAAATCTTTTCACCGTTTCTAGGTAATTATAAAGAAGATTGGTTACGTTCACGTTAGTCTTCCCAAGTAGAGTAGGTAACTTTTTCATTTAAAAGTTTGTTGGGGTGGTCGACTTTCCTGAAGGTTATGGGTGTGTCCCGCTCTGTTGTTTACTTTCTGCTTTGTATTGCATTTACGTTTTTTTTTCTTTCTGAGAAAGAGAATGCCTGTGACTTGCAGCACTCTCTGGGGGGGGGGGGGGGGGGGGGGGGGGGTGTTTTTAGGCCCAGTTTCTCCATGTTGCTGGAGTGTTAAAAGCGCTGGCCGGATGAAATATACAACACACGACATCAACGGCATTGCGGAACACCCCTGTAACCTTGTGCCAAGGTGACAGTTTCAGGAACTACCAATCAGAAGTGAGCTAGTGTGTATATGGGTAGGCCTTGGAAAGACTAACGTTACTTTTACCAGAAGATCTTTTGAAATGCGACACACCCCAAACCAGCGCAGGCGTCGTTGGCTTCAGTACAAAAGTACACCATAGGAATTCCTGCCACTTCAGGACTACTCACCCAGAAACATCGGGAGCAAAGCCTGGGTGGTTGCATCCCCTACGATGTTGTACCCCTCGAATATCACAGCTTTCAGGTCTTTCTTTAAGAAGTTCAAGGAATCCGGAAGCTTCCGCTGAAAGGTCATACTAGACATGGAGTCGATCCCAAACATAAGCACATTTAGATCTGCGGTAGCTGTTACATAAAAAGAATCATTATACATTAATATTCAAAAGTTAAAGTCATTACAGTCGAGAGGATGAACTACGCTTCACTCAGGTTTTAACCCATTTGACTCAGTCTCTCCAACCTGCTCGGTGTATAAAAAAAAAGTGAGGGAGGGTGGGAAGGGCATCAATAGATTTTGCAATTTAAGTCTATTCTTTTTCTTCTTTTGTCATCTCACTGATGCCAGGTTGTAGCCTAGTGTCCTGCGCTTCTAGGATGGCCTGGGTGACGTATTTGTTAATCTTCTGAGCCTATCTGTACTTGTAATCCTTTTTTGTCAGCCTTAACAGTCATGAAAATAAAACAGCACTACCAGCTTGAGATGGAGAGTGTTCTCTGTTGTAGCTTGCCAACTTGAGACCAAAAATAGCTGAAATCACCAAGACAAAACAGTGTCAATAATCATAACTGATATTTGGGCACTAAATTACCAGTTGTTGGTGATCATTTTTTAAGTTGTCTCTGACCCTTTGACTTATGTGGATGTTTTTCGTCTCCGAGCTCTTGTCAACAGTTCTTAGGATTTTTTTTTTTTCCTCTTTTTAATCACGTCTTGTTATGTCAGCGTGGGCAGATCTTGTCGTATACTCAATGGGGGGGAGGGGGGGTGGTGGCACCTGGAAAATGTTGCAGACTATCGCTCTCTTTCTAGGTAAGGTAAGTTGTAACCCACCAGGACATCACACAAGCGATAAACACCCGATGACACAAAGTGGCACCATGCGGATTATGATCACCCGTGGGGAGGTCCCGGAAAATCTGTTCAGCCATCAGGCTATATTTAGGGCCCCCGACAAAGCCAGGCTGAGGCTTCAAAATAACAAAAAATTGCATCCCACAGGAGGACGATAACGGATATTACCTAACTCTTTCCCCCAAATGACCTCGTACAATCGAAACTAATGACCACTATTCTGTGGAATAATCCTTAAATTATTAAAATAAAAAACAACAACAGCAAAACTTTTTTCACAAGCCACACAAAAATTCCTAACAGTTAAGTTTATAGACCAAAAGAATATTAAATTCCCCACAGAATAAGGGGAGTAATAAGTAAACAAAGAAATGACTGGATTACCTCCCATATTGCATACCATACAATAAGTTATTCTTGACTCTGTGGCCTAGTTGCTGTTAACGCTATAACTAATGGGAAATTTTAACATGATAACCAATTTACAGATTTTTTTTTTACTAAACAGAACGTCCAGGTGCCTGTCAAAAGTGTCACACAAAGCACAAACTCTGCAGCTCCAGTGACAATCTCCAGGGATCTCTATTAAAAACTGCACCCATGAACTGAACTGAACCTGAAACTAACTGATGACCTTTCGAGGGCAACGGGTTGACCACTTCACCAGAGAGACACACCCCCCCCCCCCCCCTCTCCGGACACATACCCATACACATTAACACTTTCCTCTTAACCACTTCCAGATTATTCCAAGTCCCCCACTGTTGCAGTCGTTACGGTAGTAACAGCTGTGAGAAAAGTGGTGGCAGTGGTAGCAGTAGCATAGACAACAGGTGATGGTAGTGCCTTCTTCTTCTTCATTTCCTCTTTTACCGCTGTGGGTGTCGAGGGAGATATAAGATTCTGTTTCTAGCTCTTCTGGCCGCCTCGACCATAGGCACATCGTGCTGTTTCTCTGATGTTATCCTTCCATCTTGTTCTTGGTCTACCTCATGCTCTACGTCCTTCTTCTCTTTCCATGAGAGAAGATGGTAGTGCCAACTGCAGAAACTACCTGTGTCAGAAGTAGGAGTGGAGGTAGAGGCAGTCTAGACTTACCAGAGGCTGCGGCAGCTTTGATGTTCCTGTAGCGATCAAACACATGCTTCATTGGAGTGACCTGCACCAGAAACTGCTCCTCATCGCAAGCCGGCATCTCCAGGTACTTTTCCTCAAACTCTGCATCCTCCCAACCATGATACATTTCATCTTGATCTCTGTTGAAATTACGGAACCGTTCATCCGAGCCCTGCTGATCCAAATCTTCTAAATCTTCTGTTTCCCGACCAAACTCTCCATACTTTTCCTCATCTATGCTCGGTAAGCTGTCATCTGTACTTTCATCTCTTTCCATTTCCTTACCAACAACTGTATGGCTCGCGTTAGTGAAACTTAAATGTCCTTGCTCCATATCAACAGCATTTGGGCCAGCTAGACTATTACTTAAATCTCTATCTTTTATTTGAGAAAATAATTGAAATGCCCCTGAACTGTTAAGGGTCTTTTTGAATGGTACTAAAGCTTCAGACATCTCCCCAACACTTTTGCTATGATCTAAATCTTGATGAGTTCCTAAATAATTTCTGCCTTCATTTGATGTGGAATTAATATCTTTGGATCCTTGATAAGACCTCATTGTTTTGGATCCTTGATTGGACCTCAAGGTATCTGATCTTTGATAGGGCCCCACTTTATCTGATCCGTGAAAGGGATTCACTGTATCGAATCCTTGATAGGACCTCACTGTCTGAATACCTTTAAAATGCATGTTTGTATTTGTAATATGTTTAGCATTCAGTTTAGGAATTATAAAACTTTGATTAACAACATTAGACTGAGTCTGATGAAAATAAGAACCATGATTTTTCAAGATTACTTCACTATATAAATGCCTACCAGATGAATTATTAATTTCTGTTCTTGAAGTATCTCGCTTAATTTTAACCTTACTTTTCCTTGCTTCAAGGTGCGTATCCTCTTGTATTTTATCAGGTTTCATATTTAACTGAGTATCACGGGGTAATTTATTCTTTTGCCCACCCAGGTGAGCATCATTTGGAAAAGTATTTTGTTTGCTATTCAACTGAGTATTTTGGGGTAAGTTACCCTGTTTCATACCAGACTGTGTGCCTTGGGGTAAGTTACCCTGTTTCATACCAGACTGTGTACCTTGGGGTAAGTTACCCTGTTTCACACCAGACTGTGTACCTTGGGGTAAGTTACCCTGTTTCACACCAGACTGTGTACCTTGGGGTAAGTTACCCTGTTTCACACCAAAACGTGTACCTTGTGGTAATTTACTCTGTTCAGTACTCAATTTTGTACTTTGTGGTAATTTATCCAGTTTCATACTCAGCTGAGTATCTTGCAGTATTTTATCATGTTTCAAGCCCAACTGAGTATTTTGTGGTATTTTATCCTGTTTCATTCCCAAATGAGTATCATATGGTATTTTATCCTGTTTAATATTCAAATAAGTATCGTGTAGTAATGTATTATGTTTCATGCGCAGCTGATTATTATATGATGAATTAGGCGTATCTGCGTCTTTTGTATCCGACTGATCAAAATTTTTATCCTTATCTTCTTGCTCTACTTTCAACTGACCATCGTGTGTTAATTTAACCTTATCTGTCTGCACTGTACCCAACTGAGAATAATGGATCGCTTTAACCTTATCCTGTCTTGTATCTGGCCAAGTATCATATATTATTTTATCTGTACTGTTTTGTCTTGTGCTCGGACGCGCTTCATGTTGTACTTTCAAGTTGTACTGTCTTGTACCAAACTGAGAATCAAGCAATAATTTATCTTGTACTTGAGCTGTACCCAATAATTTAACCTGATCTTTTTGGCTGATGTCCAGCTGTGTATCATGTATTGTCTTTTCTTGTACTGGTATTATTTCTAATTTAGTATCGATCTCTGCATTAATCGTCTCTTCTTTTCTTGTCCTTATCCTATCATCAACATCATCATTATAAAACCGGCATCTTACGTAGACAAAATCATCATCGATTTTAACACTGCTACTTCCGTTAATTTCAACCAGCTTTTCCAAATATGCATTCAGGTCAGACTCTCGTCTGATAGCATATATTTCACATTTTTTTAGCCGTCGACTAAATTTTGATGTTGTATTCCAAATTAGAGATCCATTTTGGAGGTAGAAAAAGTTTGGCCCTGAACAGTTTAATGGCGGCAGGGACTCAAATGCGAATGACAAGGCGTCGTGCTCCAGAGATAGTTTTGGCTGAATGCACTTCTGTGGATAAAGAAAAATAACCGAGCTCGATCATGTCATGTATTTGATTTGGGTTTTTAAGAAACTACAGAAAATCAAACTCAGGCTCTTATGAAGGAAAATAATGACACATCAGTCAATCGGAAGGTCCTTTATGGAATGTTCCTCTCATCACCTTCTTCTTCTTCTTCTCTGCCACCATTTACCTCAACGAGGTGTTGGGGGAGATGTAAGGATCATTTGTGCGCTTTTTCCAATGCATTGTACAAGTTGGTGTTCATTTCTGTTAGGTTGCTTTTGATGTTGTAGCTCGATCTCTTACGTAGTCTTTCCCTTGCTCTGTGTTTATTATATTTCATCAGTGTTGCTCTCTGCGGCAGTTGGTATCAGGGCATTCTCGTCAGGTGGCCAAACCATCTCATTTGTTGTTCTTTAATTAACTATATGACTGGTGTTCAGTTCTACTCTTCTTCTAATTTCTTATTTTATCTCTTCTTGTCACACCGTCAGCTCTCCTAAGATATCTCATCTCTGTTAATACGATCTTCCACTCATTAGTTGTAGTAAGGGTCTCATCACCACCCACACATCTCTCGTTCTAGCCAATTGTCCAGCCCTATGTGCTTTCATAGCTAATGCATCTTCAGTGTTCTGTATCCACCTTCGTGGAGGTCTGCTTCTGCCTCATTTTACGGAAACTGTACCCTCCATCACCGTTTTCTCCAGACTGCTGTGACACAGGACATGGCCAAAATACCTCAACGTTCAGGGCAGGATGCTGTTTGTGAGCCAATTCTTCTCCATGATCATGTAAGATGTTGGTGTTTCTTCTTTTCTTGGACCATGGTATTTTAAGAATCTTTTTGTAGTATTTTAGTTGAAAAGTTCTGATTATTGACACAACAGTACATTTGACAATTTACTGCCTAGTGTCACAGACCTCTGGGTGACCTTGCTGGTCCGTGGCTCGTAACTGGGCCTATGACAGACAAGCTAACCTTTGACAAAAACTGAACCCGAACGCACATAGAGCACACACGACAATCTTTATTGCAAGAACAGGTAATACAATAGACAGTTGACTTCCGGCTGTGTGGCCACCTATAGCCTGGACCCTCTGGCCGAACGAGCTTTACAATCGCCTCGCTCCCCAGTACGTTCCACAGGCAATCTCCTGGTGCACAAACCACACTGGCACAAGATACGCTCTTATCTATCGACACACTGACCAACCAAACTGTCACAGCCTCTGTCTAGTGCAGGGTCAGAGTGCCAAGGCTAGACATTCTCTCACAGAACATGTACCTAAACGATTTAACTGGTCAGAAGTAACTGGACACTATTTACTTATGGTGGCACAACACAAAACCTTGTACCAGTTAAATACACAGCACAAAAGACTATCCTATTCTAACAGAACACTGTAAAAAATCATTAAAGAGTCACTAAAGAAATATCCTAACTCTAATATACTATCACTGTCTCGCTAACACGTCTGCTCCGTCTGACCATTGTCCACCGAATGTCCTGCGTTCCTTTCACCTCGTGTCTCTTGACCCGTTAACCTGCTCAGTCCCCAAAGGGGTAATCGTGTAGCGAACTTGTCTGCAACAGAGTTCACTCTTTCTTGTCGTGGCCAAGCGGTTTCTCCTGAGCGCTAGTTTCACAGTGCAATAACAGAACAGACTTGACCAGTCATGGCCCTGACCTCTGTGTCAACCCTGGGGTGTCACCTGAACACGCACACCCTACGGTGTGGTCCATTCTGCCACTGACTGTACTCATAGGGTTGTGACACCTAGCATAGTTCAATGCAATCGGAAAGTAGCAAACATAAACAATTCAAAATTCAAACTTAGAATAGGGAATGGTGGATGTACAGAAGAATGGGTTCTATTTAAAAGAAAAAAAAAAAATAGATGTTCTGGACAGAATGATAATAACATAACATAACCCTTGACCCATTAGGGTCGTGGAGGTGTACTGATGGAAGCACTAGCACATAAAACCCGCCATCTTTCCCTATCTTCTGCTTGATGAATAAGTGTATGATAACTTAGTCCTGTCTATTTCTTGATGTTGTCATTCCAGGTTCTTCTTTGCCTTCCTCTTCTTTGACTATCCCCCAATGTTCCTTGAAGTACAGCCTTTGCAATCGAATCATGTCTCACCAAGTACCCAAACCAAGCTAGCTTGCGATGTTTCAAAACTGCCAAGAGAGGCTCCTGATGTCCTGCAAATTTGTATATTTTGTCTCTGACATATTTATTAGTTTTGTGTTCTTAATAACTAATTCTTAAAATGACAAATTTGAATGTTGAATTACGAATCAACATCTTTTTACTCAAGACATAAGTGCTCTGTTCATATCTTCAGCAGCAATTGCAGTTCCAACTCCGATGACACCAGTAACTGTCTGACTGTACATGCGTCTCGCCGTTCTCTTGAGTGTTCAGCCTCGGCCAGATCCCCTGTCCCTCCTTGCCACTCTTCTCAGACCATGATGATCATCTGATAAAACAGAACTGCTGTGTGAGAGGCGGATGTTTGGAAGGGCTGAATGTAAGATGGGCCTGCGTGCCCAATTTTTTACCCTTTAAAAATAAAGAAGTCGTTCATTCGTTCTGTAATATTTAAGCTAAAAAGTCCTGATTTCCATCTTTAGAGATTCTGAACTAAAATGTGAGTCATCATCATCATGTAACAGGTCCTTTGCAGAATGTGGCTCTCATCACAGTCTGCCTGAAAGAAACTTGGTCTCTTGCCAGCTCTCCCGCCTCATGCCCTTTCATACTCTAGGAGTCACTTATATTATGTGCCAATATTCGTGTTGGTCGGCCCCTGCCTCTCCTTCCTGGTACCATGCCTTCTTCTATTATTTTTTTTTAAATGTGAGCGCACTTAAATTAAAAAAACAAAACAAATAATAATTACTAACAATAAAGATCTAAATAATAACATACTATTTGTTCAACTTACCTCAACTTCATGAAGTGAATCTTGAGGAGCGATCAAGTGAGCCAGTGGATGATTAACCAAATGCCTCACAGCAGCTGAAGCCTTCTGGTTGTCCAAAAAGTAAACTATATTTTCTCGGGAAATAAGTCGCAGCAGGAAAAAGACATTGGTGGCAAACACTACTGCACACGCCAGTTTGAGCACAGACCAACTGTATTTTAGTCGGGTTATCATTCTCCTCACATGAATCATCGTCAGCACACCTGAATTAAAGTTTTACATAATTAATTCCTTGTAAATGTAATAAATTTATTGCTTGGGAGTAACTAAGCAATCTCTAGTGGACCAAGAGGTGAAGAAAAGATGGTGGCGTTGGATAGGACACACATTGAGAAAACTGGAGAACAACATAACTAGAATGTCTTTGCATTGGAACCCATAGGGGCATTGGGATAAAGGAAGGCTGAAAAATATATGGAGAAGGGAACTGGAGAATAAAGTTAGAAAGATGGGGAGGACATGGGAAGAGCTGCATGCAATAGCAAAGGATAGAACAACTTGGCATGATTTGGTTGAGGGCCTATGCTCCATTGGCTGCTAGAAAGGCAGAAGAAGAAAGAAGAAATGTAAAAAATTTATTTGGGGATTTATGTAAATATTTATAATTTTAGCAAGAATGTCATTACATTTTTAGGAAAAAAAAAAATAGCATGGGGAAGACCGCAACAAATGGAGTGATGTCATCTAGAACAACTTCAGAGAAATGAAGACTACATAGCCCTAAAACTGAGCACACACAATGATCGTTACAAGTCGCATCCACTTCCAACATTTCGCTTAGGTACCATGAGGAAAATACAGTTAAAAAGAATGTTAAATGTTGGATTCAGAATCGAGATCACAGCACCAAGGACACCCCCCATAAGCGCTCCGACCCCATCTTCAGCAGCAAATAAAGAGTTAAAATTCCGATGGTACCAGTATCTGTCTGATTGTATATCCATCTCGCCTTTTCTCTGAGTGTCGAGCGTGGGCCAGATCCCCTGGTAACTCCTCAGAGTGCCATTCTCCTCAGACCGTAATGATCTGTCTGTGGCTTGGCACTGTTAAATGTAGTTAATCACAGTTATCATGTTTTTCTTCTTCTTCTTTGCCTTCACTGGCAGTAACCTTTGACACAAAGTTTTGGTTGTTCGTCCATCTGTGGTCTTTAGTCTTGTTCCAAAACCTGAGTGTTGCGTGCACATCCATTTTACAAATCTTGCTTATATGTATGCAGACTGTTGGTTCCTTTCCTCTCAGGCAGATGCACTCTGAATATGAAGAAAGCCACCACTTAGCTGACTCTTATGCATGTTGGGGAGGCAGTCGGCCTTTTTTTGTTTCAACCCAATGGGGCTACAGAACCCATGCAGGGATATCCTGATCAACCCCCAATGGGTTATACTTAGCATATAGTTTGTGGTTTTTTGTGTGTGACTTGGAAGTGCACATAGTTATGCAATACCAGTATCTTTTTAGACATTTTATTTTCAGCACTACTGTAAAAGATACGTTGTGGTTAGTGCCAGCACTTATTTTTTATAGTTGTACACTTTGCGATGAGTAAGGGCACCTCCCGTTTCATAAAGAAAAAAGTAGATTTTCCGGGGCATCATATGGGGGAAGAGGAGCGGGTGGGGTTTGTATGTACAGACACTGTCCCTGACAAACATGTCGTAAAAAGTCGACTAATTATGGGTGTTTCCTTCGAAGTTAGTGCATCTGCCTGAGAGGTGAGAAACCAACAGTCTGCATACACAGCAGTAAGATATGTAAACGGTTGTGCATGTAAAAAAACTCATGTTCTTGAGCAAGACTCAAGTCCAGAGGCGGACGAACACCATAACTTTCCACCGGAGCTTACAACCAGTTGCTCGCTACAAATGAGAAACGTTTCGTTTCTGTTTAGCTGTTCCTTTTTATTCAGTTTTTCATTTTGGAAGAAAAGAGGAAGAACGAAGAGTTTAGTAGTAAAGACGAACAACTTTGTGTGAACCGAGACGCTTTAGTGTTATAATGAAGGTGTACTTACATCTATACAATATGCGTTGTTCTTGTCCCGGTAACACACAGATCAATGATGATACAACTGTTACGCGTAAGAAGATTGATTTCTGACTTTGTCAATTCTCTATCGTCCAGGTCTTTGATTGAAGCAGACGACTTGAATTCTTCAAATGTCAAACACCCGACACATCTACAAAACAAACTAAAATAAACACTAGTTACTGTATTAAAATTATGACAAATATTCAGTCTTATATGCAAGCAATATTTTATTTGTTGAATTGAAACTAAAAATATGTAAAAAATATATATAAAAATTTATGTTTGTTTGCAAATGATATTGAAGATTTATTTTGTAATCTGCTGGAAACACCCCGTTGATGTTTTTATATGACTCACTAAGAAGATGGTGTAAACAGAAACTGTCTTTGGTTCTTTGCGATCTCCGAATTCTTGTTTGTTTCTTTAATCTTAGTCCGAGCGTTTGAAGATAAAGATAGCGTAAACGGAAAGTTTTGAATACGGTGTGCTAGTTCGGTTCTTTAATTTGAGTCCAGGAATTGTTTTTGTCTACATTAGTTTGAAAATAGTATGAGCAGAAAGATCACGCGATTGTTAGGGAGTGAATTCTTAACGATAGTCTGCTAGTTTGTCTCTTAGTCTCAGTACTCTCAGTAATTATGTATCTGAAAAGTGTATTCAGAAATTGAAAAGCTCAAGTCTGCATTATTGTTAGGAAAGCGAATGACTGCAGTCCCAAGTCTGCTATTTTATTCAAATTTCTGAGCCTAATTCTTCAATTCTGATCATGAGTTTGTCGTGTGTACATTTGGAATCAGATGTCTATCTGGTGTGCCTCACTCATGCTTTATCGACAGAAAGAGAGGAAGTTATGGGACTGTTAATTGGCGAGGTATGTATTCATGTTACTGACAAATTTAACATTTATTCAAATACTTTAAACATATTTTCGGCTATCTTCCGAATAACGGTCCCAAATTATCGAGGCGGAAAATATGCCTTAACAGAGCCTCAGTCACATATCAGTTGCGAACTTCCGGTGACTACACCACTGTGACGTGCGTATGCTTGATTGTGACGTGCTTATAATTATAAGCCGGGATCATTGTGACGAGCGTAAGCTTGGGCCTACGGTGTGACGTGCTGTTAAGGCTGCGTGGTGATGTACATCGTACCAAAGTGACTAGGGGCGTCGTAATGTAACAAAATGGCATCAACACTTAACCTGCCACTGGCCAAGAGTAACACAACATGATGAATACTGAAGCTTCCAAACGTAGCGGAACGAGAACTCTCTTTGAAAGTTCCATTTGTGTATTGACAAATGGCAATGATCAACACAAGGAGAAAATATGCAAGTAATAATTCATACTCATTCAAGCACATCAACAAAAGCCCGCTCGTACATCCATGGACTGATATGTCCTCACAATAGGTCGCAGTCCGACCTTGAGATCCAGACAGTCATCTTCGGACTGTAAACATCAACTGCAAAGTATACCGGCTTACTGCCGAACTGTGGCATCCCGGGGTAAAACGTCCTCAAGGATCCACCGTGGCATCCCAGGGTAAAGCATCCTCAAGGATCCACACCAAGGCCGGACCAGACGTCCGCCTTGGTCAAACTTCGACTTTCATCTTCTAGAATACTTGCGACAACCACCACCTCCCCCCCCCCTAAATTGCGATCTTCCTTGGACTAAACCGCTACCGCCGAGAGTATCCCCCACGCCGCTCACACGGCGTGGATTGGGGCTAAACTAGATGGCTGGGACTCACAAGCAGATAAAATGTAGGAAGCTGCAGGAGATGCGGTAGCTGCTGCTCATGAGTCCCAGCCATCTAGTTTAGCCCCAATCAATGCCGTGTGAGCGGCTTGGGGATACTCTCAGGTGGTGGCGGAAGTCGCCAGTAGTGCGCAATTTAAGTCGCCGGAAGTTCGTAATTGACACGTGACTGAGGCTCTGTTAGGGTATATTTTCCGCCTCGATAATTTGGGACCGTTATTCGGAAGATAGCCCATATTTTGTTTATTCTGAAAAAGGCTGAGACATTAAAAGACTTATCACAAATGCAAAGAGAACTGGAGCATTTTGTGACAGCTGTACAGATCTACGGAAAAAGAGATAAAGGAAAACAACAACAGAAGATTCTAATTCCTGGCTGCATTTTATCATGGTACGGAAAAGTGTCAGCACACAAATTGATACATGCTGTAAGAGAGCACAAGATTAGAATAATCATCATCCACGCTTCCCGTGTGGGTTCCAGGGTCCCCTGTGTGGATTCCAGGGTCCCCCATGTGGGTTCCAGGGCCCCATTATGGGAAAAGTAGAATATACCAGCTGCCCCTCCTCCCCCAACTAGCATGTCATAAAAGTGGACTAATTAAGGATGTTTCCTTTAAGTCAGAGTGCGTCTTTCTGAGAAGCAGGAACTAAAAGCCTGCATACAGATAAGCTAGGTCTGTAAAACAGATGTGCACGCCAAACTCAGTTTCTGGAGCAAGACTCAAGTCCAGAAATGAATAAGCAACCAGAACTTTCCGTCAGAGTTTACAGCCGGTGAATGCAAAGAAGAAGAAAATCCATGAAAGGATGTAGAGGGTGTGTCTCTGTTAAATGTAGAGGCTATATCTCCGTAGGATGTGGTATGGCATTTCGGATCTGCATCACATAAGCAGACCATTTGAGGCAACAGAGGTGTAGTCACAAGTGTCACTGTCATCATCATCATCATCATCGTACACCATGTAGATAAACTCGATCACCAGTCTAAGATAAAGTCACTGTTCTCATCTTGATTATACCATTGGGGCAGGTCATCCACATATGTCTCATGTCTCTTTGTTTTCCTTTTCCCATCAAGTTTAGTGTCTTGTGCAGTCCAGTAATAATGTTTCATAAAGAATGGATTTAACGTGTTATATCTTCTATTCATCTTAACAATTTTTATCTGTTATATTTTAGATCACTGAAGACAGAGTTGTATATTTGTCGTCAGTTATCATCCTTCGAAGGTCAGATAAACAGCCAGATCGGGTGGAAATTTCACCAGAACAGCAGTCAGATGCCTCTATTAGAGCTGAGGTGATTGTTACATGTTTGTGATTCTTAATTCAAGTGCTCTCTCTCTCTCTCTCTCTCTCTCTCTCTCTCTCTCTCTCTCTCTCTCTCTCTCTCTCTCTCTCTCTCTCTCTCTCTCTCTCTCTCTCTCTCTCTCTCTCTCTCTCTTTATCTTTCTATAGGCTTTTGCTTAATTGGCATTAAAAAAAAATTAGTTAAAACTTTTCGTCCTACCATATGATATTGTTATATTGTTCTACGGGAAGTGATAACATAACATAACCCTTGACCCATTAGGGACGTTTAGGTTTATCGATGGATGCACTAGAACATAAAACCCGCAATCTTTCTCTTTCTTTTCTTTTTGTTAGTTTTGTTATTTTATTTCTTCCTTGTCAACTTCTAACTGCCTCTTCTTCTTTTATTCCTTTTTTCTGCATCCTCCTCTTCTTCCTTCCATTCTGCATCCACCATAGGTAGTCTATTTCTTCTGCCTCCTTTTTCTTCTTCTTCTTCTTTTTCTTCTTCTTCTTCTTTTTCTTCTTCTTCTTCGTATTCTTCTTCTGCCTCCTTTCCTCATCCCCCTCTTCGTCCCTTATCTGGATCTACACACCGGAACATGCTGGTGTAAAAGGTAATGAACAAGCAGACCAAGTAAAGTAAGTAAGGTTTTAATACAGGCAGGAAAAAAGCATGGTTGAAACTTATATAATCACCGCTGTACAAACTAGACTGGATTAATGACCAGTCTGTGACACTAACAGACTACTTGACCAACAAGTAAAGACTGGCAAAGCACATGTAGTTCGTAATTGAGGTCAAGATGGGAGACATTACAACCAACTTCTCATGGGAACAATCAATAGAGGTATCTTGGAGGGCTGCAGCATCGAAGGACTAAGCTTCCCCTCTCTCCCCTCTACTTCTTCTCCCCGGTTAGTTCGACATTAGTCTCCCAAAATAGAGTAGGTCACTTTTTATTCACAAGTTTGTTGGCTTTGTCAACTTTCCTGAAGGTTATGGGTGTGTCCAGCTCTGTTGTTTGGTTTCTGCGATGTTTTGCACTTATGTTTTCATTCTGATAAACAGGATGCCTGTGACGTCTTTAGGGGAGTTGTGACAGACCCAGTTTCTCCATGTTTTTGGAGTGTTAAAAGCACTGGCGTGCTGAAATATACAACACGCGATGTCAACAGCGTTGTGGAACTTCCCCGTAACCTTGTCTGAAGGTCAGGGGATCAGGAACTACCAATCAGAAGTGAGCTAGTGTGTATATAGGCGGGGTCTGGGAAGACTAACATCGAACTAACCCTTTCCCCTGTCCCCACCCTCTTGTAAGCCTATTGTAAAAGGTAACTAAACAAGGGTTTGCTGAAATGGCATTTGTTGGACCATAAGGTACAGATATTGTCTAGCTATTGACAACATAATGTACCAGCCGTCCGTTTAATTTATAATTCTGAAACAAAATGTAGATAAATAATTGTTTACAGAATTTATTAATGACCTGTGTATGAGCTTTTTTTTTTTGGAGGGAATTCCCACGGGTCATGACCTCCCCCCCTCTTTTTTTTTTTTTCTGCATTGCTGGGGTGACCGAGTTAAGATTGTTGTGTGTGTTTTTTTTAACGCTTGTTTATTTGTGTTTATTTTCAGCAACTGGCCAAAGAGTTGAATAGACCCCTCAGGGTGGTGGGCTGGTACCACTCTCACCCACACATTACCGTCTGGCCTTCTCATGTTGGTCAGTTCTTGTCATTTATAGAGATTCTTTTTTAAAAGTCATTAGAGTACTTCCCCGTGTGGGTTCTGGGGCCCTGTTATAGGGAGAACAAGAATAGACCCACTGCCTACTCAAAAATATGTCGTAAGAGGCGACTAACTGAGAGCTTCCTTTGAAGTCTGAGTGCATCTGCCTGAGAGGCAAGAAACCAAAAAAAAATCTGGCCCTTATCAGGAACTGAACCCACGACCTTCCGATATGCAGCCGAATGTCTAGCAGCTAAACCATGGTGGCTGCCCCAGCTAGGTTTTGCTGGTGCAGATTCCAGTTTCTGGACCGGGAGTCCACAATTTTTGGCATCAGGTGGTAAAAGAGTTTCGTACTTCTGCATTCATAAGACGATGTAAATGTGTTGTGCCCAGTAACAACATGGCTGCGATACTTGCGCCTTTCGGCCGACCCATCTGACTTCTGCAGGAATTTGTTGTCTGGGTTAGTCTTCCCGGAAAGGGTTTGGTACGAGCTGGCTAAAGGTCTATGTTCAATTAAGAGATAAAATTTGGACAAGGAAAGGAAGAACAAATTAGTTTGAATACTCATGAGGAGCAGCTGGTAAAATGGTTAAGAACACATGCTTCCCATGGGGAGAACCAGGTTCGAATCCTCATGGATTATTGTCTGTTGGGCACAAAAACGAAATCCTACCCTGCACAGTCTGTGGCGAATGCACTAACCAGGCCGCTCGAAATCCTCAGGCTCAAAGACCCCACATTCTCATTCCGTTTACACACCCCCACCTCTCCACCCCGGTCTTTTTCTTCTTCTTCTTCAGCATTCCGAGCCCTTGAGGTTCATTGCTGCAGATACACCCGCCTCCATTCATCTCTCTGGTTGGCCTTCTTTTTCCATTTGGTGACACCAAGTTTTTGCAGGTCTGTCTGTACATTATCTCTCCATCGTCTTCTTGGTCTGCCTTGTGGTCTACGACCATTCATCTCCCTTGTGTTTACAGTTTTTACTTCTCTGTCATCTGACATTCTTTCAATATGCCCTAACTGTTTCAGTCTATTAGCTCTCATGATGCCAGTGATCAGTGGTGATTAAAACAAATTATTAATGTCATTGTTGCTTCTCACTCTCCATTCCCCGCAGTTTGCATCTTTGATGGGTCCAAAGATTCATCGTAAGACTCGAAAACATGTAATAAGGCTTTATTCTCCACCCCTTCTGCACCTCAAAAATTAAAGTACAGGCAGGGTTTTAAGACGTTTGCGAGGACCAAGTGATGACTGTGAATCTACAACCATGACCAGACTGCAAGAACAGTATGTTAAAAGGGGTGTGGTCAGACAAGAGCACTATGCAGGCAGCCAAAGAAGAATAAGAAACCAACACAGAACTAGTGTTTTTAGCCGCTACACATGACTGGATTTACTAACAAGAGGATCCGAGCACTTATGAACTGAATGGTTTGGTGTGCAGTGAGGAGAATCTGTTAACTAACTTACTAACTAACTGTTGGAGACCATGCATCAGTACGCTAACATTGCAGGGAATCACGTGGATATACTGTCCGGGACATGCAGAAGTGCGAAGGAATGAAAGAGTGGATTTTCTGGCTACAGAAGCGAAAGCTACGAGAACACTCGTGTTGGACAGTGGAGATATTCTGAAGACCATATATGAACGACTTTTGGCAGAAGACACGAGATTAGATGAAATAACATGGGCAAGAATGTGTGAACGAGGAATTAAGTGTGGATCCGGCAAGGAGGTACTGATCAGAGGAAGAGATTGGCATGTGTGTAATCAGTGTGCTATGGGAGCAGTTAGCATCTACACCTTACGTCATCTGCTGCGGGAGACTGAGCATCTATGGGTATGCCTGGTGTGCTATGGTGTTGATTCTTAAATCAGTAAACTAACTAACTATTCTCCTTCAGATGTGAGAACTCAGGCAAGCTACCAGCAGATGGATAGTGGCTTTGTGGGGCTGATCTTTTCTGTTTTCAACGAAGATGCAACTAAAGTATGTACATCCTACAATCTGTTTGCCTCTGATTTGTTCATCCTACAATCTGTTTTCCTCTGATTTGTACATCCTACAATCTGTTTGCCTCTGATTTGTACATCCTACAATCTGTTTGCCTCTGATTTGTACATCCTACAATCTGTTTGCCTCTGATTTGTACATCCTACAATATGTTTTCCTCTTATTTGTTCATCATACAATCTGTTTTTCCTCTTATTTGTTCATCCTACAATCTGTTTTCCTCTTATTTGTTCATCCTACAATCTGTTTTCCTCTTATTTGTTCATCCTAAAATCTGTTTTCCTCTTATTTGTTCATCCTACAATCTGTTTTCCTCTTATTTGTTCATCCTACAATCTGTTTTCCTCTTATTTGTTCATCCTACAATCTGTTTTCAATGAAGATGCAACTAAAGTACGTACATCCTACAATCTGTTTTCCTCTTATTTGTTCATCCTACAATCTGTTTTCAATGAAGATGCAACTAAAGTATGTACATCCTACAATCTGTTTTCCTCTTATTTGTTCATCCTACAATCTGTTTTCAATGAAGATGCAACTAAAGTATGTACATCCTACAATCTGTTTTCCTTTTATTTGTTCATCCTACAATCTGTTTTCAATAAAGATGCAACTAAAGTATGTACATCCTACAATCTGTTTTCCTCTTATTTGTTCATCCTGGTAACTAATTGCGGCGGGTTCAATAAATCTTACTGTTCTGCCATTGACTGACGTGTGAAGGATTTGAAATGCATTGTCTCAGGTTACAGTGTGTCTAGATGTTTTGATAGATAAATAAATAGAAAAAAAAAACAAATTATTAGTGACCTATGTAATATGATTGATCTATGTAGTATGATTGTATATTTTTTGAAAAAAAAGTATTTTCCCCTGCAATTTCTTAAGATTCTGCCCCGTTGAGGTTAAAGTTCACAGGTGAAAGGATCAGTTAACTCATACATCTATCATTAAAACTGAGAAGGGAAAATGTAGAGTAGAAAAGTCGCAAGAGAAGAGAGCCAGAGAGAGAGAGAGAGAGATGTTGGATCACAGCATGGTGTGGGTCAGGTGTCTCCCTGGGAGAGTGGCAAGCTTTTTACCTTTATGTCTCTAGTTTGTTTCACCGGTTCACAGTTGGTGGGGAGGTGGGTGTATGAGTCAGTCAGCCAACCCCCCCCCCCCCCCTCCCTTTTTTTTTAGCCCAAAGAGATGCAGTCTTTCTTTGTCAATTGAGATGAGAAAGATATACGGATGTGAATCATGGACAGTTTGTAGCTTGGTGAAAACCTATTTGGAAGCTGCAGAGATGTGGTTTTATAGACGAATGATGAGAATACCCCGGACAGATAAAAGTAATGAAGATTTCTTGAAAGAAACTGACTCACAAAGAGAACTGATTGCCCACATCAGAAAGAGACAATCTACATTCTTTGGTCATGTGATGAAAAGGAGAAAACTGGAGTACATCGTGACAGTGGGAAAGTTGGAGGGGCAGAGGGAGACAGAGAGAACAGATACTGGACAGTTTGACATCATGGCATGAAAGATTGTCTGTGTCAGAGTTGATTGAAAGTACACGAGACAGATGGTTGTGGATAGACATAAACACCAATGCCACACGGCATGGACTTTAAGAAGAAGAAATGTATTCCATTTAAATCTCCACCGCATACATGTTTAATGATTATCCCCTTTAAGGTATCTCTGAACAATTGTAATAATGTATTTAAAAAAAAATTAAATGTTTAAATTTTTTAGTGATGTATGTCATTTTCCCAGTTTCTGGTCCTTTTCCCCAAAGGGTCCCTGGGAAGAAGGGTTAAACGACAACGGTCATTCATCCACTCATTCATGCCTTCTGTTGTCACCGTGTCCAAATATGAGTCCGTGAAGATGTTTTATTTTGTTTCCATTAAACAGCAAAATAAAGTTCAAGTTATCTGCTTTCAGTCGCGGGAGCTGCATTCTCAGTAAGTGCATTTGAATGCTGATCTGTCTTTCATTATCTTCTCCTTCCATGTGTCAGCGTTTTCTCTTGTCTTTTTCTGTCTGTTCTGTCTTGGTACCTCTCTTTCTTTCTCCCTCCTCTTTTATGACCAGAACTTTCTGCCAGAGTATTTCAAAGTATTTCAGGATCCTCGCCGGTGCTACAGAGCCTGTGCACTGTGCTGAGCTTCTTCGGACTCAGACTTGAGTTAGAAGAAGAACGGAGCACTTATGGGTTACTACCCGTGTGTTTATCCCTTGTTCAAACCTCAAACCTCTGCCAGAGTTTACAGTCACTGAAGGTGAAGAAGAAGAGGATTTGTTTATGTCTTTCCATACTTCAGTATTTCTTCTCTCTGTTTCTGTCCATCTTGGTATCTTTCTGTGTCTCTCTGTCTTTTAATCTCCTTTATCTTTCCATACCGCACTCTTTCCTCTCTCTGTTTCCATCTGTCTTGATATCTCTGTCTTCACTCTCTCGACCTCCATTAATTATTCTCTGTCCTTCCCTATCCTGCTGTTTCTGTCTCTCTGTCTGTCTCTCTCCTTTGTCTTTCATGATGATTATTCTTTGTCCATAGCCTGCTGTTATTTCTCTCTGTTTGTCTAAATCGCTTTCTCATTTCTCAGTCTTTCTTATCTCTGCAGTTTCGATTCTCCATTTCTTTCTGTCTGTGTGTTTCTCTGTGGGTATCTCTCTCTCTCCCTCTTCTTTCACTTTCCTTTCTTTTCCTACCTTTCTGTTTCCTCTCCCCGTTTCTGCTTATTTTAGTCACTTTCTGTCTGTATTTCTCTGTCTCTGATTTCATTCTCCTTCATCTTTCCCCATCTCATTTTTTCCTCTCTCTCTGTTTCTATTTTGATGTCTCTTTATCTGTTGAAGTCTCAGCCAGTTGATTGGGAATCGAACTGCTTAATCCCCCGCTTGTTGCTGTATAGGTTCCTGCCATGGGTGGCACCACATGCTAAAAGTTAGGACACTTAGATGTTCTCATTTTCCTTCAAATATTCTCATTCTCCGTCACACATTCTCATTAACAAATGCTCATTCTCCTGAGCATATTCTCATTCTCCCTCATATATTGTCACTGTCTCACTCTCCCTCATATGTTTTGATTGTCCCTCAGCTCCCTGTGTGAGTTCCTGGGCCCTATTTTGGGAAGTTAAGAAAAACAGAATAGACCCCCCCCCCCCACAAACATGTCATAAATGAAGACTGATTAGGGGTGTTACCTGCAAAGTCAGAGTGTGTCTGCCAGAGAAGCAAAGAGCCAACTGTCTGCATACAAATAAGCCTGAAAACAAATAAGCCAGATCTGTAAAACAAATGTACACACAGACCTCAGGTTCTGGAGCTAGACTACAGACCAGACATGGATCAGCAATGAGAACCTTTCACCGAAGTTCACAGCCAGTGAACATGAAGAAAAACAAGATGGTTCTTAACTTAACTGGGATACTCATAAATAATATGTACTCTTTTAGATTCCAGCAGGTTCAGGTGCCCTTGTTCATCACCCCCAGCTACTCCATCAGCCGAGCCTGCCTCAACTCTCTAGTGGACATCCCCAAGATACTGCTACAGGAAGAGGACGAGGCCTACGAGAAGGTGACCGATGGCTCCCAGGACCTACTGACCCGCATACACAATGCTTCAGGTATACGTGTTTAGTAATTGTGTGTGTGTGTGTATTTTTTTAAAACGTGAATATTATGTTACCACATGCTCTAAGAGAGTTAAAACGTTTGCGTGAACCAACTGAGAACTGTGAATCTGCAACCATAGTCAGACTGCAAGAACAACATGTTAAACGGGGTGTCGCCAAAACACTACTCGGGTAGCCAAAGAATAATAATAAACCAACACAGATCTGCTGCTACACGCTGCGGGATTCACTGAGGAGGGGATCCGAGCACTTATGGACTGAGTGGTTCGACGTGCAGTGAGGATAACCTGTCGACTAACTGACCTCATTGCACATTGAGCATTGCCATACCTACATCACTGAGGCTTCAGTGTTCTCTGTGCTGCACTTCTGACAGGCCTCAAGAAGCTGATAATCTGCCATTGATATCCATTACAAATTCCTAGGAAATTCCCGCGTGGTTTTCCTCTCGCTGCTCCACTTGGTACACCCAGGGTATGCAGTATTCTTCCATGAAACTGAAAGCTTCACAGTTTAGTCTCTCGAATGGCATTGTGGACAACTACAATGTGGTAATAACACATAGGGTTAGAGTAGTGATAACATTTATTAGAACAGTGATAGCACAGCTACTAGTAGTGATGACATTTTTACTCGTACACTACTTTTTATTATTTTAATAGAAGGATGTGCGATGGATTTCATTTGGAATGTTTTTCGACTGTGACGAACATGGTTTATGTTGTGACCTGCGGATTGAGAAAATTGTGAGTGACCTGTTGCCAGAGGACTTGGTTGCTTATGTGAATAATTGCGTGTACAACTATTGATCTGTTATCACTGCTGCTTCCATCAATTTTGAACTGCATTTCTAGTGTTGGACTACGTGTACTGGCACTTCTGACGGCTGCCTTATTCATCTAATGCGCATGAGATCTGATGGATTTGCTAAGATCGTTGTCTACATCCATTTTTCAATAAGGAACAGTGAGGGATATTCTTTGTGGTTTTCGTTGGCACAGGAATGGAGCAACTATGAGGTGACCCATTTGCTATGAAGTTTGAACTGATAACCTGAAGCTTGCACTGGGGGGTAATTCCTTTATTTCTCTCTTTCTACAGTTTACACAAAGTCAGTTTGCCATGTCATGGAAGTAATCACAGGCCCCTTGATACACAACCTAGAGTGCCGCCTGCATGCCAACAAACTTCGTATACAAGAGCTGAAAGAGGAGAAGCGACTGCTCACTCAGAAGCTCAAAGCTTATGAGAAGAAAAAAATTCAGCCAGTTTGACTTGTGTGCGAATGAGTCATTGCCATCATCATCTTCCACTTTTTTGCCTTTAACTATTTCAGTACTAACTTCGTCTTCTTTTCTTAGCATTTAGTTAGTTAGTCTTTCCTCTTAGGCCTAGTGCGGCGAATAGGGCACAGGCCATAGCTCTCCATGTCTGGCGGTTCGTTGCCACCCACTGTAAGTCTTGGGTGTTAGTTAGGCCCATGGTTAAGCCTTCCCTAATGATGGTTCTATGTACAGTTTCTCTTGGTCTTCCTCCATTTTCGTTTTTCTTCCGGTGTCTAAATGAGAGCTCGATGGGGGAGTCTTGTCCTATCCATTCTGAGTTCATGGCCGATGTAGTTCCAGCAGCGCTTTCTTATAAAATTTGATACATTATCTTACTCGGTCCAGTGGAGATTAAACATTCTTCAAAGACATTTGTTCTCAAAATTGACTAATTTTTTTTTAAAAATCAAGAGCTACCATTGCTTTCCTACTCTCGCATCCATAAGTTAGCACTGGAATCACACAAGAGTTGAAGATCTTAAGTTTTTGTAATTGTTGAGTCTCTTTGACTTCCAGATGTTTTTCCTTTGTGCTCTGACGGAAATTCCTGGTTGTTCGTCAGCTTCTCAGATATGCCTGATGTACTATGATATTGATTCCTAAATCAGGAATCAGTGTTTGGGTGTGTTGGGCTGACCCTGTTGGACTAGTTCCATTTCCTGGAGGTCCACAGTAAATGGTCATGCGTGTAGTTTAGTTGAAGACCTGTTAGTGGACTTTCATCGTCTTCTCGTCCTCATCCTCTGATTCTTTCTTGGAACAGTAATAATATCTAGGGATGTGTTGGGATGAGTTTAGAACTTCTTCTCCTTCTTCTTTGCCTTCACCAGCTGTAAACTCTGGTGGAAAGTTCTGATTGTTCGTCCACTTCTGGACTGCAGTCCTGTCCCAGAACCTGAGTGTTGCATGTGCATCCATTTGACAGATCTGACACATTTGTGTGTAGACTGCTGGTTCCTTGCCTCTCAGGCAGATGCACTCCGACTTCGAAGGAAGCTCCCAATTAGTCGACTCTTATGACATGCTTTTTGGGCAGGCAGTGGGTCTATTCTTGTTTTCCCTATAACAGGGCCCCGGAACCCACGTGGTGTTTAGAACTGATATCATTACATTCAGCAAGTTCCCATAAGTGCTGTATCCCTATCTTCAGCAGGCAGTGCAGAGTTCCAGTTTCAGTGGAACCAGTAACAGTTGATTATGTGTCCAAAATAAGACATTCAACATCTGATGGAAGTTTCCATTTAAAGATGAGAATAATTAGTATTGCAGAGGCACAGATAGATCATTGCGGTCTGAGGAGAATTTGGCTGCGAGGAGTTACCAGGTTATCTGGCCGACGCTCAACACTCAGGGGAAGGAGGAGATGGATTTACAATCAGACGGTTACTGGTGCTATCTGATATGGAACTCTTCGCTTGCTGCTGAAGATGGAGCCGGAGCACTTATGGGAGTATCCCGAGTGCAGTGATTACATTTTCAAGTAAATTGTTATGATCTCTCATCAAGTTTTGCATCTTATTTCATGAGAGCTCTATCATTTGCTTGTTGTACATATTTAATACATATGATAAAGAAAAAAATATATAACCATGCCTGTTGGCATATGGGATTTATTATTATGAGATTTTGGCACCAAAATAAAAAAAAATTTAAACACAATCTTCTTCTTAGTTTTTACTGTAAACTCTGGCAGAAGATTCTGGTTGTTTGTCCACTACTGCAATTTGGTCTTGTTCCAGAACTTAAGATTTGCGTGTGCATCTGTTTGACAGATCTAGCTTATTTATATGCAGACTGGTGGTGCCTCACCTCTCAGGCAGATGGACTCCAACTTTGAAAAAAACATCACTGATTGATGTTTCAACATCACAACGATCGGGTTCCCCATACTTGCTCCGTTCCTGTGCCAGTACGAAGAACGAAGAAAATGAAATGTCCCCCATTACTGCAATTGAAAAACTGGTAAAAAACTAGTCCTGGAACAATCCAGAAAAATATGCACTCATATTTCAGTTGCTGGAGGTGCCAAAGCCAACAGTCGTCACCAGAAATGCAGTTTGTCATTGATGGAAGTAGTTGGGCACAATAAGTTGTTTACTTTACAAACATAGAATTCTTACATAAGGTATTTCACCACCTCACCCGTAAACCGGCTACCGGCCATGAACCACAACACAGCTGCTGCACTAATGAAAGGCATTCCACAGGAAAACTACAGCTCACAGGGCTGCACCAAGCACTAAAGTCAGTAGCTCAGGCAGCGAAAGAGTAGACTACCGTCCTTATGTGGAAACTGCATTTGCAAAGCGCTGTCGGAAACTAAAAAATAACTTCGAAGATAAACATTCTGCCAAGCCTCTCCTTCCTTTTGGCCGGAAGTCCAAAAACATATCTCTGAATAGGGACCTCTAGGGACTTGCCAGTTTGAACTGGCAGAACTGCGTCTCACCAGTAAGCTTTAGCGACCTCTCTGACCTCTCTTAAACAAAAGGTAATGAGAATTTTGAATTTTGAATTGACATCACAGCACTTGGGACACTCCAGTTTGACAGATCTGACTCATTTGTATGCAGACTGTTAGTTTCTAGCCTCTTAGGCAGATGCACACTGACTTCGAAGAAAGCTCCCAATTAGTCGACTCTTATGACATGCTTTTGGGTAGACAGTGGGTCTGTTCTTGTTGTTCCCTATAATAGGGCTCCGGAACTCACATGTAGACCATAAGCATGCAAGCCCCCTCTTCAGCAGCAAGCAAAGAGTTCCAATTCTGATGGTACCAGTAAACTGACTGTGTGTCCGTCTCGCCTCTCCCTTGAGTGTTGAGCACCGGCCAGATCCGCTCAGACGCCATTCTCCTCATACAGTAATGATCTGTTGGTGCCTCCGCACTGTTCACTTGCTCCCAGAGGGGCCTCACAACATCTAGCTTGTCATACATCAATTCACCACCAAGTGGTGCAGAGCCAGCCAGTCTGTCTGCCCATGCCAATAAATCAGGTAAATAGTAATCTGGTTTCTCTTAGTGGTATCTCACTCCAAGACGTGGACTCATACATCTATTTGGGCAGTAATGTAGATACAGATGGTGAAACTAACAGAGATATTAAAATACAAAAACAAATACACAAGGCAAGAGCTTTCGTAGCACAAGAGAATTAGTAGAGGTCACAAGAAATTAAAACTAATACTTTACTTAAAATATTTAATTCTAATGTCAAATCAGTGCTGTTGTGTGGGGCGGAAACATGGAGAACAACTAAGGCAATTATGAATAAACTACAAACATTCATTTACTGGTGCCTGCACAGAATAGAGGGAATTAAATCATGTCATAGAATCACCAGTGTTGAGCTTTTGGGAGAGAACTAAACAAGATCCAGTGGACCAAGATTGAAATATGCAACTTTAAATACAAAAGGAAAACCTTATGCACTTTAGATTTGGTGGCAAATAATTGGATGACACAGAGTGAGGGTCGAAGTTCTATGAATAATCGGATGTAAAGGAAGAGGAGGAAAGGAAAAAATATATATATACCACGTGCGATGGTTAAGGAGGAAAATGTGCTATCTGATGACATCCTGTGAAGTAAAGGTGACCAACATCTTGTTAACCACATCACCATCAGGATGTTAACCACATCACCATCAAGTGGTTACAAGTGTGGCAAGCATCGCTTCAGGTGTCCCAGGTAGTCTGTGTCCACTGGAATTTTTCTCCAGAGTATGCTGGCGTGTTGGGAAATTAAGAGGCAGACAGACTGGCTGGCTCTGCAGTACTTGGTGGTAAATTTGCATGTATACTTCTAGTAATGTTCCCTGGTCTCCGGGCAGTAACACCGGACGCCCTTGTGTATTGTTGCGCACGTAAACAATACCTTGGTAGTTGGAAATCGAAAAGAGTAGCCTAACGGCGCTGCCCGGGCAAAATTTGGAATTAAAAATCTACTTAAAGTATTTCAGGATCCTGGTCGGTGCAACGGAGTTCGTGCACTGCACTGAGATTACTCAGGCTTGAGTTAGAAGTAGAACGGAGCACTTATGGGTTACACCTGTGTGCCATGATGTTGATCTGTCGACTAAAACCTAATCATCAAGTGCCTTGCCAACTGGTGTGGGCGTTCATGTGTCGTCACAGATCTCGGTCTTTGGTGTTCTGGATCCATTCTACTGATGATTTTCCTCCTTGCCACTGTCTTAAGCCATTCACCATCATTTTGCTTGGTCTGCCTCTGCCTCTTCTACCAGTGATATTTCCAGTCGTCGCGAAATTTTCTAGTGCTCCTTTCCTCAAAACATGTCCAATGAACTGTGCCTCCTCATTGTTCGGAATAATATTCTAATTTAAATAGCCATTTCCAGCCACTCATTGTTACAAATGTGTTAAATGGCCAAACCATTTCACCTGTTGTCATTTAATGAAATCCACAGCTGCTGCTACTCCCATTTTCCTTCGGATTTCAATGTTTCTGATCTTATCTCATCTTGTTGCATTAAGAGCCCTTCGCAAGAATAGTAGAAGTTTCAGCCTCACAGCAATCGGGTTTTCCCCATACTTGCTCCGTTCCTGTGCCAGTGAAAATCAAATGAAATGTCTCTGGCTGTTGCAATTGAAAAACTGGTGAACAGATACCTAGTCTTGGAACAATTCCGAAATACGCGCACGCAGTAAATGCGTATTTCAGTTGAAACAGGCGCCAAAGCCAACAATCGCCACAAGAAGTGTAGTTTGTCGTTAATGGAAGTAGTCGGGCACGATAAGTTGGTTACTATACACAGGTAGAATTATTACATAAGGTATTTCATTAGCTCGCACGTAAACCGGCTACCGGCCATACTGAACAAAACGACACAACAGCTGCATAAATGAGAGACATTCCACAGAAAACAATACAGCTCACAGGGCTGCAGCCAAGTACTAAACTCAGCAGCTTAGGCAGCGAAACCGTA